CAAAATCACCAGAAAACCATTATGACTCAAAAAGTTCTGGAGCCAATAATGTAACAGATCACAAGTTGTAGACACTGTCTCAAGAGGCTGAACATGCCACACACATTATCAAACACCACCGTCACAGACCTGGGTAAAACCAGAACAGGCCCAACTTCCCAAAACACATACTCGTTTTTCCTAGACCTTTTTAAGTTACAAAAATCTTAAAAAGAAAAAAAAATGCCAGAAGAACTTTGTCAAGTTTTGAATAAGTTATGACATACAGAATCAGGTTTGGCTGGGCCGCGGTGTCTCTGCCTATAATCCCAGCAAACTCTGAGAGGCTGAGGCGGGTGGATCACCTGAGGTCAGGAGTTTGAGACCAGCCTGGCCAACGTGGTGAAACCGTGTCTCTACTAAAAATACAAAAATTAGCTGGGCTTGGTGGTGCGTGCCTGTAATCCCAGCTACTTGGAAGGCTGAGGTGACAGAGCAAGATTCTCTCAAAAAAAAAAAAAGGAATCAGGCAAGCGGCAACAAAACACAATTTATAACAATTCGTTGAGAGAGGCATAAAAAAATAGATAACTATTAAGGTAGTAAACTTGGGAATAAAGATTGGAGGGTTCGCAATAAAGCTTCTCTTTTTTATTATGTAAGGTTTAACATGTATAAAATATATGTGGCATATATGTAGTTATAAAGCATAATGCTAAAATGCATAAATACATTTAGATGCATAGATTTTTTCTCTGAGAATAGTTGGTAAAAATGTATATTGTTCACCCCTGTAATCGTCCTTTACTACTCTAGAGAACCAATAATGTTCGGGGAGTGAGGGGTGAAGGAGGGGAAATCAGATTACTTTTGAGACAGAAAAGAAAGATACTGACTAGAAAATGACATACCCACCTTTTCCTAAACCCTAACTTCACTTAAAAATACTCTAGGGAACAGTGTTTGGAAAAACCTGAATCAGTCAGCAGTAGGTGAGTTCAAAACACATATATAGCCTATGCCTGTACAGAATATCCCTTGTAACTCATTCAACAGGGTCACGCTGTTAAAAAGTTCGCTTTCTCTTTGGAGGTAGAAGCCCCACATCAATGCCAAAAAGAGAGACCCTCTAATACTCTTTGGAAACTCCCTGATAACTTGAATGGGTACAAAGGCAGAAAGAAACCAGTGGCTTCACCAATCTGAAGAGACCTGTTTCTGTGATTAAGGTACTCCCTCTAAGACTGGAAACTTAAAACGGATGGAGGCTTTCTGCAACTGACTTCTCTTCTAAATTAGCTATGCTAATTTTGGAAAAATGTATCTTGGGTTCTGGGTGTTTTCCACTATTCTAGTGCTCAATGGAAAAAAAAAAATCATTCGTGTAGGCATCCCTCTTCTCTGAAGGCCACTTGTCACACCCACCACCATCCTCTGATTTTGCATAGAGGTCCCAAATAAGCAATCAAGGTAGATAAAATCTTGGCTGACATTCATATCGGAGACATTTTTGCAGGCGCTTCATGAAATGAATCAGGGAAAGAGCTGCCTAACACCTAACATCTCCAGGCACATCTCCCACAGGAGAGCCTCTCCCCTCCCTCTGCACACTTAACCCCCAACCCCAGAGGTTTTCTGTGGTCCCTTCTAGCCTGCTCAATGATGAAGACCCCAAGTGCGGACACGGCCTTAATACTATGACATCATTTCGGTAACACGCCAAGGAGAACACGTTCCTGCAGTTGGCTACGTGTAGGTCAGCAAACACGCCCGTGCCCTGCCCCTTCACAAAGCAGAGGTCACACTCTATTTCAAAAGTAAAGATTCCCCACTCCCGCTTCCCCCTCCCTCCAGAGAGGTCGCTGCCTCCAAGCTCTGGAGAAGGGACGTCAGCATGCAACCTGACAATGCCACAACTCAACACACGCAGGTACTATTAGAAGGAATAGTAAGTGGTACTTACAGTACCAGGGCAATTTACGTGTATTTTGGGGTCCACTTCTCCAGGACATCATCCCTACCCAACAACACCAACACTTCAGTTCATTCCTCTCTCATCTTCTGGAAAGACAGAAGTTTTCACTATGAGACACAGGAATTCTGGCCTAAGTTGTCCCAGCCCTTCACGGACAGCAAGAATCCAAGTTTCCCCACGCGTCACCTGAAGCCCCAACTTTTGGAAACGCCCTCTTTTCCTCGCCTCCACGAGCTGCGAGAGCAGAACATGCAGCCGCGGGCGCTACTGCTGTCGCCGCCAAAGTCAAGGAGGCGACTGGAAGCTCAGGCTGGTCGGCGGCCTCGGGGCGACCACAGGCAAGGCCCTGATCCCGATCCACGAACCAAGGCGCCTCATCTCCCCCAGGGAGTGAGCTCCCGCGCCCCTCGGAGTACCCAGGCGAGCCCGGGCGCCGGGAGAACGCTCTGCACTCAGCGCCCAGCCCCGGGACGCCGCCAAGCGCACGGCTCCGGCTGAGCGCCCGGGCAGTGGTAGCTGCGGAGAAGAGGGGCGTGTTCCCTGAGACTCCGAGCCCCAAGGCCGGGTCCAGGCGGGACAGGGGAAGGCGGCAAGCCGAGCACGCTGTCCGTGACGACGGCTCTCGGCCCCAAGCCCCGCCGCCTGGCGTGGCAACGCGCTGTAGCCCGCGCGCCCTTGCAAGGACAGCAGCCGTGAGCGCCTTGCGCGGCCGCCTCCGCGCCTGCCTCGGCGCGCAAACTTTCCCAGCGACAACCGCTCAGGCCTCTCCGACGGGGGCGCGGCCCTCTCCCCGGGGCCCAGAAACGGCTTGCCCCCTCCCCTCCGCAGCTAAAACCCACTGAAAATATGGCGCCCTCGAAAGTCGTTCCTTGGTCCCATCAGGGATCCCGAAATACTCGTCTCCAGGTCCCTCCAGCTTCCAATGGGTGCAAAATTTCAGCTCGTGGGACCGAGGAAGGAGAGGGAGCAGCTGAGTCTGTGTGAGGCCAGCAGCACTGGATGCAAAGCCTGTCCCTGCTGTCGGCCCGGCACTGCCCCCGTCGCTCAGCGGCCAGCAGTTCGCCCGTGGCGAGACTGCCAAGTAAAAGACAGTCGTGGGATCGGCAGGTCTGAGTGTCCGGCACTGGAGAAGGAACTCCGCACTGGAGGGCTGTCTTAGCCCAGAGCCTCGGCGGGAGACTTGTTTGCGAAGTGGCGCTGGAGTCCCGGCGGCCAGTGCTGGAATGAAGCCGCTCCGCCCGCGCCAACTCTCCTGGCGCGGGGGCCCGGCCGGGGTCGAGGGGACACTCTATGCAGGCGGGGCCGTTTTTCAAAGCCGAGTTACCGGAAACCCAGCGAGAGCCCCGGAGGGGACCGGCTGCCCACGGCCAGGAATCCGCTCTCTGGCGCCGGCTGCGAGGCTGTTTGCAAACCGCTGCGCCCGGGTCCAGTGCAGTTAAACATACATGTGCAATAGACAGGTGCATTAATATCATTTTATTTTTATTTTCCTGCAAGAAGCCCTCCTAGACCATCAAATCTGGGAGCTTTACGGGTTTTTCCTGCATTGGCATCACTCACGAGAAGCAAAAGGGAGGAAAAAAAAAACACCCACATTTTCCTTCTGGAGAGGGGAGGGAAAAGATACGAGAAATTCATGCAACGTGCATGCAGCTGGAGGAAGAGGAAAGCCCGAGTGAGCCGTGCGCCTTACCGGGGGATGCATTTACTGTCTCATTGCAGAGCGCCTGCCCGGGAGTGCAGCCCGCGTCCCCCCGCGCGCTGGGCGACCACTCCGCTCCCGCAGCCGCCTCAGCCGCTGCCGCCGCCGCTGGCTCCGGGCGCGGAACAAGAGCCGAGGGCGAGCGCGAGCGCACTGCCCGCGAGCGCTGGGAGGGCAGGAAGCGCGTCATCATTCGGGGACGGCGCGGCTCCGGTCCGGCCGGTGCGCCGCGCTGCATCGGGGGTGGGCCGCCACCCAGGCTCTGGCGCCCCTCCTGGGTCTCTCCTCGCGTGGGGTGATGCTGAAAGGGTCCGTGAGGGAAGGCGATGCACAGGCCGAGCTGTCACGTGGAAGGGAGGCTCGGGGTGACCCCGGCTTCCCAGAACTGGGGCTCTGTTGTGTAAAGGGGATAACTGGAGGACCCAGCGTCTTGTGGGCTGGGGCCCCTAGGTCCGCAGAGTGCCCTCTCGGGACCACTGGCCAGGTCCTAGGGGAAGCGAGGTGTGGCTGACTGGAGGGCCGTGGCGGGCGGTGCGGTCTTGCTGCGAAGCGGAGGGCCGTGACCCCAGGCGAGCCTGCTCCTTTCAGTACAAGGATCCTGAAACCTTGCTAGTCAGGGGTCACTTAGGAATTTAGAGAACGACTATAGGGATGAGTGGCGGAAGGGGTGTGCTCTATTGACAAGGAGAAAATAATTCACTCCTGTTTACCATGCCCTGAATAAAGTCAGTTATATACCTCTTACATTTACAGTCATTATTAGTAAATACTGTAAATACCGTGGAACAATGTGAAGGTTATTCAAGGGGGTGAGGAGACAAAACACTATGTACCATATGGTCCCATTTTTAAAAACTGATTTCTAGAGAAAGGCAGAAAAGACTGGATAAAGAAACACCAATAAATCTCTCAGTAATTGGTGGAATTGTGAGTAATTTTACTTTTTTATTTATCTGTAAGGGACACATTAGTAATTTAAAAAAAAAAAAAGAAAAGAATTAGCCATGACCCCTTTACTCCTAGCACTTTGGGAGGCCAAAGCAGGAAGATCTCAAGCCCAAGGAGTTTAAGATTGGCCTGGGCAATACAGCGAGACCCTATCTCCACACACGCAAAAAAAATTTAAATTAGCCGGCTGTGGGGGTGCATGCCTGTAGTCCCAGCTACTGGGGAGAATGGTGGGAGGATCACTTGAGCCCAGGAGCTCGGGGGCTGCAGTGAGCGGTGACTGTACCACAGCACTCTGGCCTGGATGACAGAGTGGGACCCTGTCTCAAAAACGAAAGACGACATTATTTCCATCCCAATACAGAATGACCAGGAAATAGGTAGCAAATCTCTTCAGTTACTCAAATGAAACTGCTGGCAACTTTTTAGTGTTTCTCAGAGAAAGAAACTGCTGTCACCATAAACCAGAGAGTGAATTGATTTTGTAAATTGAAATTATTTTGAATAAGTCCATTGGGACATTGGATAAGGCTGGACACTGTGAGAACAATACCCTGTCCTTATCCAGGCCGATGAACCGGATTGTATCATAACAGCAAAGATAACCTTAGGGTACAACTTTGTAACTTATTGCAGAAAATAAACTGTAAAGCTAACAAAGTATGCATTATCAATGCACAGTGAGAGAACCAATTACTTGGCAACTTGAGAAAGTCCTAAAAATTGCAGGGCACAATTTTTAATTGCAGAGGTAAAGTATTTTTGTTCACCACACCTTTTTAAACATTTACCAGTCTGACAGAATAACTAGTGGTGACAGCAAGCCACCTGAGGGGATGATTCAAAAGTACATGTTTATTAATTTCTGTACAAGCCTGGTAATAAGCTCACTAAATTAATGCCACCTAAATTGTTCCCTGGTTTACTAACAAAGAATAACCATATTTTTATGGTCCAACTGCCAGGTTTACCTAAGAGGCTCATCTAGGAGAGGAAAAAATGGTTGCAACTAAAGTGATTTTCCCCTTCCACTTAGTCCTCCGTTCATAGGGCCCAATAGCTTCCTATTAAGCATCTCAAAATCTTTCTGACACCTGGATTTCAAGATTTTCCATTACTTAATGCATCCTCCTGAAAGTATTCCCACACTTTTCCACTACCGATCAGCAGGATGCCATTCAGTATGAGAAGCTGTATTCCATGAGAGCAAGAACCTTATCTGTATCTCTGTGCCTGAAGGAGCCTGGCACATAATATTTAATAGGTACTCAATAAAAATCTGCTTTATGAAAATAGCCTATTTGTTCAGTACCTAGTTTACTAGTTGCTGAGATATTTGAAAAGTTACCTCTCCTATTAGAGTGTCAGCATAATTCTAGGATGCTGAGATCCTGTAGATTTATAGCCTTGGTTTGGTTCAGTTACTTTTCAAAGTTCCAGCTAAATCCTAAGGCATTCAGAAGGTGAGGTGCAGGTGTCTGAATATTTGTGCATTAATAATCCAAATAGCACTATTTTGTGGCTTTCCAAGGTCAATTAAATTCTTTCCCCCAGTGAGAAAGAACATCAACCTTACAACTCAGCTTTAGTTCTGGCTTCAAACCAGTTGGATTTGGACACTTCTTAATTTTACAGCTCCTTGTTTTTCTAATCACTCTTAGGGCTCCAAAATCATTTACTGTTTTTTTTTTTAGAGAAATCAACTAACCATTCTATGTCCTAGCATTATATTTTTCAAAAATTTCCCCAGTAGAAGTAAAAGCAATTTTACCAGTAACCTTTACTAACTTTTCTGAAATTGAGATGCCTCCCTAGACCTAAAAAGAGTTATTTCTAAATTTAGAGTTAGCTACTAGTAGTCTCTGTCTTTATTCACAGTGATCATAGTTCATTGTAGATCAGCAAAAAAAACAAACAAAAACAAAAATAAAATCTAACTTTTTTTAACAAGATTACATTTTGGGGCTTTGTCTCTACCCAGCAGAGGAAAACAGGATGGGAGATAAAACAGTCCATCTAAGCAATTTCTCAAGCCTTTATAGCCTCTTACTTCTGCCAAGCAGATCTTAAGTAACAAAATAAATACACTTTGTGTGAATCAAGATTGGAACATTTGGGGAGGTAAGTCAAAGAGATAGCTTCCAAGTCACTTGTAATAAATATATCTGGAACAAAAAAACATTTTCTTCACAAGTTAGATTTGTGATTACCAAATTAGACCTTGCTTGGTGCCAAAGAGCTGGATGCTGAGAGACTGCCCCTCTCCTCCCATTGCACTGAGCCTTAACCTCCTGAATTCCTGTCCAGCACTTGTAGGTATCTGGGGTCAACTGTGTCCATGTGGAAAAAATAAAAGAAATTCCATCAAATATTTTGTTCTACTTTATTTGTAAGAGTTTATTTTGTGCCATATTAAAATATTTTAAAGGGCTCCCTTGATACAATACACCAACAGTTCATGATTTCCTATCCTTTCAAAAATGTTTGTATCCTTTCCCGAGAGCAAGGAAGGTAGGAACCACATTTTCTAATAATTGTCCATCATTCAGAACCAGAGATGAAAAGAAGATACTTAGGCTTCTATTGTAATTTGATATCTTTAGGTTTGTAGAAATCTTTTCTGATTATAAGTGTTAGGAGAGTATATTAACCAAAAATTATAGGAGGAAATATTATCTGAGTTGTAGTACAGCATATAGTTCGTAAGCTATTTTTAATTTATTTGAAAAGCAAATATTTGACATTTTGCAAAAATTAATATATTTTAGCTTTTTATTTATCTCGAAGCATAGGACCTCATTTCATCCCTAACTATTCAGAATAACATGACAGATACAGATTTAAATGTCCTATTTTAAAAAGGAAATTGGGCTGGGCATGGTGGCTCATGCTTGCAATCCTAGCACGTTGAGAGGCCAAGATGGAAGGATCGCATGAGGCCAGAAATTCAAGACCAGCCTAGTCAGCATAACAAGACCTTACCTCTTTTTTTTTTTTTTTAATTTTTTTAATTTTTTTTATTTTTAAGAAAAAAAGAGGCTGGGCACAGTGGCTCACACCTGCAGTCCCAGCACTTTGGGAGGCCAAGGCAGGCGAATCACCTGAGGTCAAGAGTTCAAGACCAGCCTGACCAACATAGTGAAACCCCATCTCTATTTTCTAAAAATGCAAAAATTTGCTGGGTGCGGTGGCACACCCCTGTAATCCCAGCTACTTGGGAGGCTGAGGCAGGAGAATCACTTAAACCAAGGAGGTGGAAGTTGCTGTGAGCAAGATCATGCTACTACACTCCAGCCTGGGCGACGCAGCGAGACTCCATCTCAAAAAAAAAAAAAGAGAAAGAAAAGAGGAAATTGCTCCGATAGATTTAGCAAATGGTTATCATTGTACTCAATGAAGAACATGCTTGAGATTAATTTTTCTTTTGCAGCATATAAAACATACTACAAGGTTCTTTAAATGTCTCTGAAACAATATACTGTCTAGAAGAATATAATACCAATAATTATTTTCCTAAGTTGAATTGATCCTTAATCCAAATCAAATGATTAATATAGAGTATGGGAGGTAGGATGTTTCTTCTTTTGGCTGCTTGCTTGCTGATTTAAGATGTGTTTGTAGTTATACTGTGATTAAAAATCTTTTAAAAATATTTCATTGTGTATCATCAAAATTGCTTTATTAAATGTGTCATTTAAGTCTCTGGTCACTTGCAATTTTTTTTAAGGTTAGATATAAATATGTTTTCATGAAATTGTTCCATAATGTCAAGATACAGTAGAAAGACTTTTAAACTAAAAAAGTGTTTTAAAAATCTGTTATCACAGACTGGTGCGCCCCCCGCCTTTCACTAAACTATATTAACTAAGATTGATCTTTGGGACTCTGGAGATTTTTAATTTATTTATAGGTGCGACAGAACTCTTATAAAAAAAAATTTTTGTTTAGGGATTAGACCAATTTTAATTTTAAAATAATGTATGTATTGTCATCTAGGAAATATTATTCTAGATCTTCCTCAAATGGAATGGATTTGTTCTAAACAAAATAAGATGATTAGATCGTGTCTAAATCATTGTTTTTCATTATTTAATTAAAAGTGATCCACTGAAATATAGAAAATTTAAGCAGAAATTACTTAGATATGTTTAATGTGACTTCAGGGAGGTAAGCGGGGA